AAAAAAAAAAAAAAAAAAAAAAAAATTTAACAAATGCCACTGTGTTGAGGTGTATGTACAGCTGAGAAACACAGAGACTATATTTTTTGCATGCATTTGAGTTGAGGTGTATGTACAGCTGAGAAACATAGAGACTATATTTTTTGCATGCATGCAGGGATCGATATGTCACATGTATTGGGGTGGATGGCTAGACAAGAACCCTGCATAGGAAAAGTATGCAAAGACTGGAGAAAGCTGCATCCTTTCTCTGTATTATCTTCTAATCCTGGGGTGTATGTACACTTCACTCTATACAGCCCATGGATCCGATCCCTGCTTGTTCTATACGATTGGCTCGGACTCTTTGAACTACAAAAAAAAGATATTGCTGTCAAAGGTTAGGGTTTAGGGTCTAGGGTTTAGGGTTTAGGGTTTAGGGTTTAGGGGGTGGGGTTAAGGGGTGTGTTGGGGCTTTGCCTCCTCTCTCTAGGGTTTAGGGTTTAGGCCTAGGTTGGTGTGGTTTTGCTGCCTTTCTAGGGTTTAGGGTTTAGGGCCTAGGGTTTAGGGTTTAGGGTTTAGGGTTTAGGGTTTAGGGTTTAGGGTTATGAGAAGATAATACAGAGAGTAAAAGATGCAAACGGCGTGTATGTGTATGTTTCTGTTTCTCTTTATCTGTTATATATTTTGATTGTTTGTTTCTTTCTTCCTTTATACATTTATTTAAATATTAATTTATAATATATTTATGCATTTATATATTTATTTATTTATTTATTTCAAGTAAAGCTAAACCTACTATATTTATATAAGCATTTATTTATAATATATTTACACATTTATATATTTATATTTATTAATTTATTTTATGTATTTATATATTTATTTATTTATTTTTTTTGTTTATTTCTTAGATGCAATATACGGCCTGAATGGGTTCAGAGCAAACTTCACCCTCCAAGGAAAACAACCAAAAAAAAATATTTTAAAAAAAATTTTTTCTTTCTTCAAAAAAAAACAACAACTCACAGACTCTCACGTCCGCTGTATGTCTTGCATGCATGCATGGGTATATATCATATATACATATGCATGCATGCATGCATACATGCATGCATGCATGCATGCATGCATGCATGGGTGGATATATATCATATATACATATGCATGCATGCATGCATGCATGGGTGAATATATATCATATATATACATATGTATGCATGCATACATCTGCATGCATGCATGCATGCATGCACGCATGGGTGGTGGTGATGGTATATTGTGTTTTAAATTCTCTTTCTTTAATTTTTCTGTTTCTGTATTTGTCTCTGTTTCTGTTTCTTTGTCTCTTTGTTTTTGTTTCTGCCTCTTCTCCTCCATCTGTTTCTGTTTCTATTTCTATCTTTGTTTTTGTTTTTGTTTCTTCATATATGTTTCTATTTCTGTTTTTTTTTTTTTTATTTTGTTTTTGTTTTTTTTTTTCTCTATGCATTGTTTCTGTTGTGTCAGTTTTAATTTCTCTCTGTTGTCGTTTTTTTTAATCTGTTTCTATTTCTGTTTCTATTTCACTTTTTATTTTTGTTTTTGTTTTTTTATTTATTTTATAATCCATTCCCCCTTTTATTTATATTTATATTAATATTTGTTTATTTATATTTATATTTATATTTGCATTTATATTAATATTTATATTAATATTTATCTTTACATTTACATTTACATTAATATTA